AACAGCCAAACAAATAAATCAACCATTTAGGGAAGTGGAATCAATGTCCAGAGTTGCTATACTGTATCGTCTAAAATATCTAGTTGTCAACAAAAATCATGAGACATGAAAAGAAATGGGAAAATGTGACCTGTACATAGGGATTTAAAAAAAAAAGCAGGCAATGGAAACTTCTCTTGAAGAGACCCTGATGTTGTATTTAGCAGACAAAGACTTCAAAGCAGCCATTATACATATGTTTAAAGAATTAAAGGAGATTATGTTTCACCAAGTGGAGAATATCAATAAAGGGACAGAAGTTATTTTTTGAGGAACTAAATGGAATTATGGAAGTGAAAATTACAATAACCAAAATTAAAACTTCACTAAAAGGACTCAACAGCACATTAAAGTTCACAGAAGGATGAATCAGCAAACTTGAAGATACATCAGTTATAGATTATGTTAACAATGGAGATCCCTGGCTGGTGTGGCTCAGTGGATTGAGCACTGGCCTGTGAACCGAAGGGTCATTGGTTTGATTCCCATTCAGGGCACATGCCTGAGTTATGGGCCAGGTCCCCAGTTGGGGGCATACAGGAGGCAACCACACATTGATGTTTCTCTCCCTCTCTTCCTCCCTTCCATTCCCTCTAAAAATAAAATAAAATCTTTAAATTTTTTTAAAAGAACAGAGAGAAAAAAGAATGAAAAAAAATGAGCAGAATCTCAAACAAAAGTGGGACATCATTAAGTGCTCCAATATATACAAATTAGGAGTACACAAAGGAGAAGATAAAGAGGGAAAAGAGTAGAGAAATATTCAAAGAAATAATGGCAGAACAACCCCAAATTTGATTTAAAAACAATCTACACATTCAACAATCTCAAACACTCAAAACAGGGCTTACAAAGATATTCACAGCCAGATATGTTATCATAGTGAAAATATTGAAGGCTGAAGGCAAAGAGAAAATCTTAAAAGCAGAGGGAAACAAAAACCTCATCATATACAAGAGAATCCCACTAAGAATAATACCACACTTCTGATCAGAAGCAATGGGGACCAGAAGGCAGTAAGATGACATCCAAAGTACTGAAAGAAAGATTGTCAATCAAGATTCGTTTTTATTATTTTTTATTTATTTTTATTTTTTGTATTATTTCCATTATCATTTACCCCCTTTATGTCCCTCTTCACCCCTCACAATCACCACACTTCTATCCTTGTCCATGAGTCCTTTTTCTTTTTTGCTTGATCCCTTCACCTCCTAACTGCCCCACCCAGAGCTCTCAGCCTGTTCTCCATCTATGAGTCTGCCTCTATTTTGCTTATTAGTTCAGTTTGTTTTGATTAGATTCTACATATGAGTGAAATCATATTGTATTTGTCTTTCTCTGACTGGCTTATATCACTTAACATAATGTTCTCCAGGTCCATCCATGCTGTCACAAAGGGTAAAATTTTCTTCTTTTTCATAGCCGAGTAATAGTCCATTGTGTAAATGTTCCATAGTTGTTTTATCCACTCATCTACTGATGGATGCTTGGGTTGCTTCCAAATCTTGGCTATTGTAAATAATGTTGCAATGAATATAGGGCTGCTTGTATTCCTTCAAATTAGTGTCTCCGATTTCTTCAGACAAATTCCCAGAAGTAGAATTGCTGACTCATAAAACAGTTCATTTTTAATTTTTTTGAGTAACTCAATACTGTTTTCCACAGTGACTATACCAATCTGCATTCCCACCAACAGAGCAAAAATGGTTCCCCTTTCTCCACATCCTCACCACAACTTGTTTGTTGATTTATTAATGATAGTCATTCTGACTGGTGTCAGGTGATATCTCACTGTGGTTTTACTTTCCATTTCTCTGATGATTAGTGACATTGAGCACCTTTTCCAATATCTATTGGCCATCTGTATGTCCTCTTTGGAGAAGTGTCTTCAGGTCCTTTGCCCATTTTTTAATTGGATTGTTTATTTTTGGAGTGTTGAGTTTTGTAAGTACTTTATAAATTTTGGATATTAACCACTTTACGGATGTATTGGCAAATATGTTCTCCCATTCCATGGGTTGTCTTTTATTTTGTTGATGTTTTCTTTTGCTGTGCAAAAAGTTTAGTTTAATTTAGTCTCATTTATTTTTTCTTTTGTTTTCCTTGCCCAAGCAGATATATCAGAAAAAAAATATTGCTACAAGCAGTGCACAAGATTTTACTGTCTGTTTTCTTCCAGGATTTTTATGGTTTTCAATCTGACATTTAAGTCTTTCATCCATTTTGAGTTTATTCTTGTGTGGTGGAGGAAGGTGGTTTAGTTTTGTTTTTTTTTTTTATGCATGTACTGTCCAATTTTCCCAACACCATTTATTGAATAAACTATCTTTAGCCCATTGTGTGTGCTTGTTTCCTCTGTCAAATATTAATTGACTATAAAGGCATGGGTTTATTTCTGGGCTCTCTATTCTGACCATTGAACTGTATGTCTGTTTTTATTCCAGTACCATAGTAGTTTGAGTATTATGGCTTTATAGTATAGTTTGATACTAGCTAGGGTAATTCCTCCAACTTCTTCTTTCTCAAAATTGCTGTTACTAATTGGAGACTCTTTTGGTTCCATAAAGAGTTTTGAAATATTTGTTCTAGCCTTGTAAAATATATCATTGGAATCATGATGGGAATTGTATTGAATCTATAGATGGCTTTGGGTAGTATGGACATTTTAATGATGCTAATTCTTCCTGTCCATGAACATGGTACATGCTTCCACTTATTTGTATCTTCTTCAATTTCTTCTCTTCAGTGTGTTATAATTTTCCAAGTACATGTCTTTTATATCCTTGGTTGGATTTATTCCTAGGTATTTTAATATTTTTGAAGCAATCGTGATTAGGATTGTTTTCTTAATTTCCCTTTCTGATAGTTCATTGTTGGTCTATAAAAATGCAACTGATTTCTGGATATTAATTTTGTATCCTGCTATTTTACTGAATCCATTTATCAGTTGTAGTAGATACTTGGTAGAATATTTAGGGTTCTCTATGTACAGTATCATGTCATGTCAGTAATGACAGTTTTACTTCTTTCTTTCCAATTTGGATGCCTTTTAGTTCTTATTCTTATCTTATTGCTGTGACTATGGCTTCCAGTACGATGTTGTGTAAGACAGGTGAAAGCAGATATCACTGTCCAGATATTAAGGGAAACACCTGTAGTTTTAGCCTGTTAAGTATGATGCTGGCAGTAGGTTTGTCATATATGGCCTTTACTATGTTTAGGTATGTTCCCTGTCTTCCCACTTTTCTGAGCATTTTTGTCATAAATGGGTGCTAGATTTTATCAAATGCTTTTTCTGCATCTATTGATATGATCATGTATTTCTTATCCTTCATTTTGTTTATGTGGTATACTATATTACATTTATTGATTTCAACCAAGAATCTTAAATCCAATAAAAGTATCTTCAGAAAATGAAGATGGTATATACAGGATATTTCACCCTCAAGCAGTACAATATATATTCTTTTCAAGTGCACATGGAATATTCTCCAGGATAGAGCATATGTTATACCATGAAACAAGCCTAAATAAATTTGAAAGGGTTGATTGATATTATGCAAAGGATGATCTCCAAATGTAATGGAATTAAATTAGAAATCAATGACAAGAAAATTTGAAAATTCACAAATATGTAGAAACTAAACAACACATTCCAAAATAACAAATAAAGGATGAAAACACAAGGGAAATTTAAAAATATCTTGAGAAGATGAAAATGAAAACAAAATATCCAAAAATCTGACAGTAACCAGAGGGGAGGTAGGAGGGCATAATGGGGGGAAGGGTTTTCAGGAACAACTATAAAGGACACATGTACAAATCCAAAGGGGGGTGGAAGCAAGGGAGGGAGTGGGGATGGTTGGGGTGGGAGGGTAGTGGGGGGGGGGAATGCAGACAACTGTAATTGAACAACAATAAAATAGTTTTTTAAACTTATGGGATAAAGCTAAAGAAATACTCAGGGAAAATTATTTGTAAAGGCTTATATTAAAATTGAAGAAGGACAATCACAAAATTTTGAAGGCAATCTTTACCTTGAAATTTCTTGGGTCTCCTGCAGAGATGGCAGAATAGTTATAATGATAAAAATGAGGGTCCCATCATACCGCATGATAAAAAATTGCCTATGGATTTAACTGGTAACAGTTGTTTTGTTTGTTCCTTCAAACCTTTGTGCATATAGTAGCCAGAAACTGAAGGTGATTGAGGTCATTATCCTGGACTTTCCTTAAAAACTGAGGGAGTGTCCATTTATCCCAATAGAGGAGAGTTTTTTGTTTTGATTTGTTTTGTTTTGTTTTTGTTTTGCCACAGTGGGAAATGACTTGAATTGGCTGCTTCAGTTTCTTTGTTTATAACCAGGGCCCTGTGCTTTAATTACCTTTACAAGTGAATAATGGGCAATAACCACAATCTAGTTGACTGGTAAAAGAATTGTGTGGTGTTCACTACAGTATAAAAAAATGTGCATGTGTTTGATAGTGGAAGGTTTTGGTGACACTTTAAAATTAATGAGCTGACTCAGTTCTCCTCCACATGTTCTGCTAGGCTTTTTATGGCCCCTTTCCCCCCCCCCATTCTCATACTAGGGGATTTTGTATGTATATATTTTTTGCTTTTCTTCCTTGACTTGAATTTCTGAAACTTCTAAGTCAGGCTGATTTCGATCCTATTTTCAGAATTCTGACCAAGATCAACTTGTTCCTGGTATATCCAGGTGCTGACTCTTTATACCTTTTGGTTTCCTTTCTCCCTTAAGACCAATTGCTATCTCAGCCAACTACGTATGTGAAAGAGTAGGGGTCTGGGGTAAAGTTGTATTCCTAACTTGAAATGAGCTATGGATAACAGCTAGAGTCAGTTTTAGTATGGGAAATTTGAAGAGGGGCTGTATAGGATAAGATAACTGGTGGTCTATATTTTCACAGCTAAAATTTAATTTCCTCTTCTTCTTACAGTAAGTACAAATGGATCCTTGGTGAGGAACCTGTGGAGAAACGAAGAAGGCTCCAGAATGAGATGACAACACCCCCTCTAGATTATTCCATGTCTGGCTCTTACAGGAGGGTAGAGGCAACTGTTGCTTGCCCAGAAGGGGAGAACAGCCATGATAAATCCAGTTCTGAGAGAAGCACACCACCATACCTTTCCCCAGAGTACCCAGAAGCAAACAAGAATATGAGTCACAGTAGTGGAGGTTCAGTTCTGTATTCTGGGGCCCAAGAACAACACCAGGGGTCCCTGCTCCCTGAAGAATTAGAAGATCAGATGCCAAGATTGGTAGCAGAAGAATCTAACAGAGGCAGCACAAATATAAACAAGGAAGAAGTAAACAAGGGACTTTTTGTAGCTGTTGTTGGTGTTGCAAAAGGTGTCCGAGATTCAGGAGCTCCCATTCAGCTGATCCCTTTTAACCGAGAGGAGCTTGCCGAGAGAAGAAAAGCAACAGAATCCTGGAACCCAGTGCCTTATCCTTCTGTGGCCTCTTCTATAATCCCTGCTGTAGCCCCTGGGGAGAAAGGAAGAGGCTATGAGGAGAGTGGAAGTTGTCATATGCCAAAGATGAAGAACCAAAGACAGCTAGAGGAACTGAAAAGAACCACAGAAAAATTGGAACGTGTTCTAGCTGAAAGGAATTTGTTCCAGCAAAAGGTTAGGGCAGCGCCTTACTGCTAGGAGTGAGAGGTCATTGTAACCAAGGCACCAGAGAGTTAGAATTCTGATGATTTCATGTTCTTAAGGCTTTAAACAAGATAAGTCATTCAATCATTCTGTGGTATGTTTCAAATTGGGTGAACCCTAATGTGTTTCCCTCCCATATTTTGGGATAAGAAAAGTCCAAAGTTGAGGAATATCTGTAGAGAAATCACCGAGTGAATATATTAGGGACAATTTTTGCCACTTGGAATATATTAGGGATAATTTTTGCCACTTTCATAGCATGTAGTCATTGAACTTATATTTCTTGGAATGCAGGTGGAGGAGCTGGAACAGGAGAGGAATCACTGGCATTCTGAATTCAAAAAAGTCCAACATGAATTGGTGACCTACAGTACCCAGGAAACAGAAGGCTTGTATTGGAGCAAGAAACACATGGGCTATCGCCAAGCTGAATTCCAGATTTTGAAAGCTGAGCTGGAAAGAACCAAAGAGGAAAAGCAAGAACTAAAAGAGAAACTAAAGGAGACAGAGATGCACCTGGAAGTGTTGCAGAAGGCTCAGGTCTCCTACAGGACCCCAGAGGGAGATGACCTAGAAAGGTTAATTACTAGGGTTTAGTTATCAGCTTGTGAGTGCTAATGGGAAGCATCTCTTAGGGCCCCAGTTACTGGTCATAGATAAGGGAGGAAGTCTGAATCAATTCATAAGCCACCAAGGATTGAGGAATTACTTCTTAGAGAGCTGCAGCCAATCTCTGTGCTTGTGGTGGCGTTGTGCTTTCTTCTTTCTTTGTAGCTAATGGAAACATAATTGTTGAGAAATGTAGGCCCATTTTTAAGGACTTTCATTTTGTTCTGTTGGCTAATGACTTCATGTCATCTCTTCTCCTGCCCCCTCACTCCATCATACAGGGCTTTGGCAAAGCTTGCGAGGCTGCGTATCCACGTCAGCTATCTCCTTACTTCTGTCCTCCCTCACTTGGAGCTTCGTGAGATCGGGTTTGACTCAGAACAAGTGGATGGGATCCTGTATACGGTGCTGGAGGCAAATCACATACTGGATTGAGCACTAGACCATATACTCTATCTACCCTTCTTTTTTCTCCCTTTCTCTTCTCTCTCCTCTTCTCTCTTATTTCTCTCCTTTCTGCCCTCCCTCCCCCACTTTTCTCATGCTCTCTCTCACCTTTATGCCTTATATAGAGAATCTTTGAGTAAATCCTGGCTCTTAATCAGTCTGCTTCTTATTCAGTTTGGCATGAGGAAAAGACTAGTTCAATAGGCTTTTAAGAGTTCCAGCAACAGAAACGCGATAGTCACAAAACCAGGTGACCTGAAAGCTTTAACTTTCATGACTTAGATACTTGGCCTTTTTAATATCCTTTCTGAAATGGTTTGTATTCATTTAGGTTAAATCAGTCAACAAATATCGGATCCAAAGTATTGGGTTGGCCAAAAAGTTTGTTTGTTTGTTTGTTTTCTGTAAGATAGCATTTAGCATTTGTTTTCTGTCTAGTAGCATTTAGTTGACTTTAACTTCATTTCAGACAATTTTGTTAGATTGTATTTGTTACAGCTGTCATATCAGCATTCTTTAAAAAAAAAAAAAAACCTTACCAAAATTAGTGAATTTTTGTGTAGCCATTTTAATATTGAAGATAGAAGAAAATACACTTTTGGTATATTATGCTTTATTATTTCAAGAAAAGTAAAAACATAACTGAAATGCAAAAAAAGATTTGTCTAGTATATGGAGAAGATGCTATGACTGATCAAATGTGTCAAACGTGGTTTGAGAAGTTTTGCGCTGGGGGTTTTTTGCTGGATGATGTTCCATGGTCGGGTAGACTAGTTGGAGACCAGCCATCAAATCGAGACACTAATTGAGAACAATCAACGTTATACAATGGGGGAGATAGCTGACATACTAAAAATACCCAAATCAATAAAGTTATTGGTGAAAATGAGAAATGTGTCTTTTATTTTACAGAAAAAGCTAAATGGACTTTTTGGCCAACTGAATACTAAGTGTTTTGGGGTAAATTAAGAAGTATAACTCAAGGGTTCAGCCTTCAAGGATCTAAGAATATAGTTGGAAACACAAGACGTGTACCAAATTAACTTGTACAAGAGAGTACTACAAGCATGGTAGGGAAGGTCTGGAGGAGGAAGTTCAAGGAAGGCATCACATCAGAAATGGGACCTAAATTAAGGTTTGTTTAAAGAACAAGCAGGACCGCACTTCAAAATAGTTGTTCTTTAGGTCGTAGGACTATGGTCGATTTTTTTTCTTCTTGCTATCTTCTTGCCTTTTTCAAATTTTCTATAAAAACCTGTCATTCTTACATTGGAAAAAATAAATCATTTTTAAAAGAATGAGTAGGCTTGGATTTAGATATCAGACTGTGTGAAACTATAAGTTGATTTTATATTTATAACTTGTTTATTTTGCATTACTTCTGGAAGAATAGCATGAGCAAAGGCACAGAAAAAGCTGGAATGTGAAAAATGTGTTTAGTAAGAATGATGGGTTAATGTAAAGACAACTAAGGTTAAATTGTGACCCATCTATCCACCTCCCTCTGTGGTTTTTGCATTTTAATAAGGAATTCTTGGAAAAGAAATTTTCAAAGCCCAAATTAAAAAAATAATAATGTACCACCAAACTGGGATTTCAGGCAGTGAGGAAGCTATTTTAGAGCATGGAGATCTATTTGATATTACAATATACCACCTACCTACTCTTCAGGCTAGTGCTCAGTGAGGGGTAGATCTCATTTTATCAAAAACAGTAAAAAACTTACACTCTTGTAAAAGTAGACAATTTGTTTATTCATTGTTTTATTGTATTTATATAGCATATGTTCTCCAAAAAGTTCAAGATACTCTTCAAAAGACATTGAACATTGAACACATAAAAAACATAGCAACAGTGAAAACTATAAAGTAAAGGAGAAATAATAAAAGGGAGGTAGGATCAAGCAATCACAAAAGGATTAGCTAGTCCAGAGGAATGTTTTGGATATTCTGTTGCTCTTCTGCATTTACTTCAGAAGATTCTCACAAACTCATTTGATCTCCTTTGAAAGGAGGTTCATCATGGATATTACAGTGAGACTGCAAGGAATAGTGGGAGGCCAGAGCCAGCCTTCACCATTAGAATGAATACTTTAAAATATCCCCACCCCCTTACCTTCCCCTCACTGCAGGTGTAGCCTACCACATGATTATTTCTCATGTCATACATTTGGACTATGATATTGAGGGCCCAGTTGTCTAAATATTACTCAGAGAAGGAGGGGAGCACATTCAGCCATTCTATCTGTGATACGTGTTTTTAGATGGGGGCTGTGAGAAGGTGGGGCTTTGCATAGATATGGACAATATGGATGAGAGGGTAGTGTAGGAGAAATTCAGAGAATTCAAAGTTCAGTGTGTGTGTATATAGGAGAGTGAGAGAAGAGAGAGAGGTATGGGTGAGTGAGTGAGCAGAGTGGGAAGGAGTATAGGCAATTGGGCTTTAAAAAAAGAGAGGTAGAAATTTTTAACTCATCTGTACTAGTGCTTACTTTCAGTCCATTTCCTAGTCCCAACCCCATATTGCTTCTTCCAGCAACAGTTACCTGTGTGAGGCTATTTACTACAATACCAGAGCTACCTCTTTGTTACTCATTTACAATGAAATCATACCAAATGAGGTACCTTTAACCAATGTTAAATGCCATAGTGGAGAAAGTAAAGTGTCACTCAGTCTTTCCAGAACTTATGAAACAGTGTGGAGGCAAAAGACATTCAGAAGAAAAAAGTGGGCACCTCATCCTGTCTATCTTGTAAGGTTAACAATCATAATTCTTTCAAATGTCTCTGGCATTTTCCCTTTAACTTTCCACTTCCACCATTAATATTTAGGTTCCCAGTGCCTCATGTTTTGATCGTTGGAATAGATTCTTAACTGGCCTCCTTTCCCTCCTGTTCTTACTCCTTCAATCCACCCTACTCACTATTACAAAATTGCTTTTAATGATCTCATCAGCTTATGCCTCAGCTCAAAGACTTGCTAGTGCTCCCAGTTGCCCATAAAGTGCATTACAAATTCTGATCTGGCTTCAACCATGCTCTTTACACTCATCTTCCAATATTTCAAATAAAACATGTTCCATCCAAAATTAACTATTTTTCAATTTCTAAACTGCCTTAAGATTTTTGCCATCTCTACCTTACCTTTGCTAGTCCATTCCCTTTGTCTGGAATGTTCTCCTTTATCATATTTCTTTTGGCTCACATGTTGACTTATTTTTTCTGAAAATTTCTCTAACCCAACCAGACCTGACATTTTCTTTGAATATGTAAGTTTTGTGTCATTCATAAGGCTCTTATCACAAGCTTCCTTGCCCTGTCTTCCCTCCTAGAAAACTCCAGATTCACATATTCAGCTGCCTACATGATATTTATACTTACATGTCTCACAGGCACTTCAAATAAAACATTAAAAATAAATAGTGGCACCCCCCAGCACTGTTTCTCCCCTTAATTTTCCTCATTAAAAAAAAGGACACCTTCACCCACTTAGTCACATTAGCTAGAAACCTGAAAGTCATCCTTAATTTTCCTCTTCTCTAGTCTTCCATGTCCAGTCTGTCAATTCTAACTCCAAAGTATAACTTCACTCACTTTAATCATAGCTACCTTAATCCAAAATACCATCATCTCCCATAGGCAATTGCAAATCCTAATTGGTGTCCTTGCTTGCTTGCATTCTTGTTCCCACAACTGTCTTATCACTATAGCAAGAGTGATTTTAAAAATGTAAGTCAGATCATGTGGCTCCCTACTTACAGCCCTTCAATGACTTTCTGTTGCACCTAGGATAAAATCTATACTCCTTACAATATCCTATAAGACCCCTGCCTACTTATCCTTTTTCTCTTACAGCACTTTGTATCTCGCTTTTCCCCTTGCTAATTGTGGTCTTACCACTGAAACATGTCAGGCACTTACCTCAGACTCTTTATCCATACTGTTCCCTCTCCTACGGTGGTCATATCTCCAGTCTTGACGTGGCTAGCCACTCCTCATCCTTCAGTTTTTATTGTGTCAACTTTCTCAGGTCTTCCTGGCAACCTGTTTTTCTCTACCCTATTCTATAATTATGTCCCATTGTATTTAATTCATAGCACTTTTCACAATTTGCAATGATATGTTTGGCTGTTTACTTTCAATCATTCAACAAATATTTATGGGCTACCTACTATGTTATATGATATACAGTGGTGAACACAGCACATGTGGTCTCTGTCTGCCTCTTTTACTAATAAGTTTCATGAGGGAAAGGGTCAAGCCTGTTTTTGCCAATCACTGTATCCCCAATCATAAAAAAGTACCTGGTATATAGTAGGTAATCAATGAATAATTTTAGTGGTGGGGACTATTTTGTTCATATTTCCATCTTCCTCAAGAGCTTAAAACAGTGCCTCATTCATAGAAGAGATTGGATATATACAGTATGAGTATGGTAAATAGCAATCCTGGACATTAAATTCTGAGAATGAAGGAATGAGACAATAAGTTCTTCAAGTTATTGGGGGAACAATCAGTGTCAGCTGGAGTGGCCTAGTGTCTGTATTTAGCTGAACTTTGATTTGAATAATTTAAAAGGCTACCAAAAGACAAAGGGAATATGGATATTCTTTACCACAGATATTCTTTTATTGAATTTATTGGGGTGACACTAGTTAACAAAATTATATGGGTTCCAGTGCACAGTTCCACAACACTTCATCTGTACACTGTACTGTACCACAGATATTCTGAATGTCATCAAAAGGAAGGTCTTTTTAAAAAATATTATATTTATATGTAGAGAAGGGAGGGAGAGAAACATCAATGTGTGGTTGCCTCTGGAACACCCCCTACTGGGAACCTACCCTGCAACCCACGCATGTGCCCTGACTGGGAATTGAGCCGGTGACTTTGCTTCACAGGCTGGTGCTCAATCCACTGAGCCACACCAGCCAGCTACGGCAAAAGGAAGCTCTTTAACATACAATGTTGAAATGTTGTTAATTACAGAATACAATCAGAATAAACCTATAAAGACCAGATCTTGACAGTAAAAAGTAAAAGGAGAAAAAATTTCTGAGGAGTCTTGTTCACTTTTTCCAAGAGCAGTGACAGTTCATCTCAAGAGAAGAAAGAGGAACTATCCATAGGCAAAGAACAGAACAAGCTTCAAGGAAATAAGATCCTGGAACATGTTAGGAAGGCAGAAAATGCTTGTTAGATGAATAAACTGGCACCTAGTAGAGGACTAGGTCAGAGACTTTTTGGATCCAGGGAACAGAAAGATTTGTTTGCTCATGTCTAGTGATTGCAATTAATCTGGGTAACAATTAGGGGCAGAGGCTTAATTGTCAGGCTCTCAGTTCCCAAGGGCCATGTCCAGATAGAATGTGTTTCAGAGTTTTGTGCTATGAATTAGTACAGTATTCAAGTGTGGAGGTATGCTCAGGAAAGCTTCCAGGGGTGAGCTTAGGTTAAGTCAAAAGAA